AACCATGACGTTTTGCTTTGGTAGTAGCATGACGGATGGGGTGCGGTTGCGTAAAGAGCTGACGACGTCCTGTTGATCTTGGCATCATGGGTTCTGATAGAGGAAGCATGACATTCTTAGAAGCAATAGCTGCCTGGCCAGACATTTTGTAACCAAAGGTTATATCTATCCAATGATGGAGTTGAAATGACACCCTATTACTTTCTAATGCATCATAATGCAATTTAATGAAATCCTCGGGACTCTCTGCCCAAGAGGGAACAGCCAAATCAGCCATACCATCATGTATTGACTTAAAAATTTGAGGATCATAGTAAAACTCTGGAATGCATTCATCGGGAGTCCATTGATAGAGCCTCTGCATTGTGGAAGGATACTCATTAGGTTCATAGACTGAACGGACAGCCATTCTGAGAACGCTCAAAGGAAGTCTTCTTGCTTTATAACTGCAGACAGCCAATTCAGATAGACATTCATCTGATACATGATGAGGGATTTCAGATGTTGAATATGTGAAATCCAATTGTTCATCACCCTTTGCCAAGCGCCATTTGCTCTTGCTCAAGTCTCGCCATCCTACATCACAATTATCATCAGGTTTTGAGCTAAAATCAATTACCCAAGGCATTACCGGATGAAATGTATGGTCCCCCCACCTTCTTCCTGCTAATCTGTTTAAGATGAGTAAATATTCAAAATTGCTTATTTCTCCTCTCCACCACTGCTGAAAGCAAGCATGACAATCTATTGTTGGAGAAAGTTTTAGATCAGCATAAAGGCCATAAGAATGACAACCAACATTACAACAACCAATTCTTGCAGATTCAGAATTACCGCTTTCACTCTCCTGCAAAGGTAAATTACAATCCAACACAGGCTCATTCCATAATCTCAGCCAAGACCATAACGACTCAGTCAACATGATATTGGATGGGCATATATTACCATGGGAAACCCCTAAACCATGTATGTACGATAAGGCTGAGAGTAGCTGATATATAAGAAATCTTCTATTCCAATCAGACTTTAACGCATTGGGGTTAAAATGAAGAATACTTTCCAAATTGTATGGGGTCTTTGGAAACACCACATTAACGTGATCGGATGTTTTAAAAAGCGCAAGAACAGGAGCTATGTTAGGATGCCTCAAAGAGCCTGGAAAAGCATCCTCTTCAAACGATGGCAACCCAATTAAACTCAGGAAATTTACACTGTCCCGTCCAGATGCTTTTTCTTCAAGGAAGAGATCAAGTGAATCTAACACGTGGTCTTCGATCAACCCAGACAAGAAATCAGAGGACACCTTTTGAAACGTAGAATGAGAAGACATTCCCACATGAGCAATCGGTGCGAGTGAGGTGATTGTCCTCAAGCAAGAAAACCTTTGAGAATGACTACAATTCCTGTTCCCGGAAAAAGCTTTTCCACTGTCAGAATCATCTGATGAAGCAGTTCTACCGTTAACATCATTATTATCTTTACTTCCACCAGTATCAGGATCACCACTCCTAGTTGTGATTTCATCACTATCCAAACTACATTCATTTCTGCAAAAAGAACAAGGGTTTGTTACATCCAATTTCCACCAGCCAACAACAAACGTAATCAAGAACTAAAACATCAATACATTTTCTTCTCCAATTCCAATTAAACGAATGCACAAAAGCACAAACAGACCACGTCAAAACATTATCTTTAAAATTAAAAGAAAAAAAGGTAATCAGCAAACAAAAAAAAATGCAGAACAAAAATCTTACACATAATTGATAAAACAATTCTTATCACGACTCGGCATGTATTGCAATATAAATTGACCGCTCGAAGCTTCACCATCAGCTGTACCAGAAATCTGTTTTTCCAAAAACAAAAAGGAGCAAATTAAAATAAAATATATCAAGTTAAAAATAAAATTGATCCAAAAATTGAATGAGAGAGAGACATTGACGATAGCTGAGGATCCGAAAGGAAAAGCAGAAATGGAGATGGCATAATTGAAGAAAACTTGCTCCGAGAAATCCGACTTTATTCGAAGTCGGAGGCACTCGAAGCATTCACTCTCTTCCTCCATCGATTCGCTCTACTGAGTAAACTCACCCATTTGTCATGCCTACTCTCTGATTCACTGATTGTTCTTCCACTATCGAGGCTCTCTTCTTCTCCTGTGTGAAATATGAAGGTCAATTCTGTCATTTCATATCACAAGTAAATATAACAAGTAATTGTAAAAAAAAAAAAACAATCGTAGAAATTGTATTAATAGTTATTTTAATTAAATAATAGTGTAAAAATATATACACTACCAGAAAATAACTATTAAATACAATAAAGTCTCCTGAATTACATGTTTATCTAAATCGGACCCCGCCGGTTCAATCGGTCGGATAGAATCTATTGGATAATTGATCCGAAGCTCCCTTAAAATAGGATGAACCGGTCAAAAAAACCTGGTGAAATCGGACGGTTGAAGGGTCAGTTAGGTTTTTTTTAAGAGCTAAATAATGTTATTTTGTTTTATATATATTTTTTTAATTTAACACAGAGACACGTACGTAAAAAGTGAAAAGATAAAGTTATTTTTTGTATGGACGGTGATTTTCAATAGTTAAACCTTTAGTCCAATTTAAAAACCCATGCTTTAGCACATGATTTTTATGAATAAAAAGTTTAGTGTGATTAACGTTTGAATTAAACTGTTTTACATTTTCATTAAGTAATTTATTTTCACTGAATATTTACTGCGATACTAAAATGCATGGATTAGAAAAAAATAAGGGAAAAATTGTCTAACAATCTCAGGATCATTTGTTTTATTAAAAAGAAGAAGAAATAAGAAACAACTAAAGCATGGTGGCTTGGATTTTCATGGTGTTACTTATGGTTTCATCAATAGGGTTGCGCCTCATTTGATACATGGATTAAATACGATGGTTTTTTTTTTTTTTTTTTTTTACTTTTCTGTAATGAAACTAAATATGTGCTTAAAAAAATCTATAATGAATAAAACAAATCTATAATTTTAAAAAACTATTAAGGATATGTTGAATCAATGTCAAGTTTTTAAGGAGATAATTTTCTTAAACATGTTTATGTTTCTTACGAAAATAACTCAAGATTATTAAAATCTTGAGTTTGTTGATTGTGAAGTCTCACGTGATCACATCACTTCGTAACAAAATATGTATAATATTTTGTTCAAATAATAAAAAAATATATAAAATTGAGAAATTCACACGTCTTTAACAACTATGATGAAGAAACAGCTCATTCTATGAGCAAATTCATTTTAATGAAAAAAAAAACTAACAATATAAAGTTATTTCAATAGTAAAATTATTTAAGCAACAATTTATTGAACATGAAAAAAATAAAAAGAAAACAATAATTTTTGGAGATGTTATTATGATAATATATAATCTATAACATATTTATTAATAATATTATTTTATAAAATAATTAGAAAGTTTATTTATTATATACATTTATTTTATAATTAATTTAAATATTCTTGAATTAAATATAGTTTGTTCATCATTAATATATATATATATATATATATATTGGTTTTCTTTTTTTAATATTTGATTTGTGGATTAAAATATTTTTATTTACTATAATTAAATTATTAAATACACATTTATTGTATGTAATATACGTGCTAAAATATAATAGTTAACAATGTAAAAGAAGTGTCATTTAGCCACAATTTATTATATATAATAAATTTGTTAATATTTACAATAACCATTTTAAAAGTCATACATAAATTTAATTATTTGATATAAAAAATTATATCGAAAAGGCATAAATTAAACTTTAAAATCTATTAAACTTAAAAAGACTCAATTAGATATAAAATTATGTTTTAGTATTTATTTTAAATAAATTTAATATTTGAGTTGATAAATTTTAAGCATAAAATATTTAAAATAAATTTGTTAAATGAATTTATAATAATTATAAATGTTTAAAAAATAATTAGAAAAATCAACATTTTAAAAAATAATTAGAAAAATTAACATTTTAAAAAAAGTGGTGTAATAAATAATTTTTGCTTAAATAATTATTCAATGATCAAAAGTACACAAAAAGAATAACAGCATATTACAACATGTTTATTGTAAGAAAAAAAATACTACTCCATGCATATCCTATCACAGGTAACTATTTATAAATTTCTTGACATAATAATTTTAGAGGTAATTATGAAGGTGTTTTATAATTGAATAGTTGTGAAATAATGTCTTATATTAGCAACCTACAAATATTAAACTCTTATTGCAATACTAAATTGTTAATGCCAAAAAAGTTCCCAAATTAAAGAGAACTGATCTCTTTTTTATTATGATTATTAATATAATTTGGCTATAATATTTTTAAATAATAAATAATTATATTTTAAGAAAAATATTTTATCATAAACATATTTTTTAACTATAACAAAAATTCATTTAATTCATTTATTTATTTCTACACTTTTTTCTTCATCCAAACCGGTGGAGAGAAATTTTCTAGCGAGCTTCCTATATTTATTCAATCAAATAAAATGTGTTTATTAATCAATTTCTATCGTATTTCTATCCTTCTTGTTATGATATTCTCTCTTTCCTCTATATTTCACCAATTCATCCAAACAAATCATTAACATGTAAAACTGAAACGTTAAATGCTCTTAAACGCCTAAAAATAAGTAGTATAGGATTTTAGTTAAATAAAACGTCTACTAGAATTGTACTTTCAAGTTTGCAACAGAAGTTTGAGAACTCATAGATTACCAGTTTACAAACTTAGTATTGACTCCCACATAGTTTAATTTCTGTCAATCCATTGAAATTCAAGCAAAGGAATTTAAAAATCTTGTTGGGTATCAAAATACAAGTCGTGCTCTGTAAAAAATTGTTCACCAAGGAATTATATTTTTTAAATAGACACCACATGTAAACCTAACACACCTAACACTGATGCTAATGAAGGAAAGCATAAGGTTTTGACATAAAGGGGACTCAAACACGGTTGTATGCAACTGACTTGCTGAAAAGGCGTCTAATGTACAGGACTTGCAGAGCACTAACACCGGCCAAGAGAAAATACTCTCCTACAGTGTAGAACACAACACGCTTCCGTGTGCTCTCGTTAGCTACAAACAAAGAGAGTTGAGTCAGTGAAAGTTGCTGTTATGTTCCTAACTAAAAATTTCCTAACAAGACGCAAAGGAGAACACAATTACTACTTATTTTACTCATTAAAACAGAACACAAGTGACAAAACGTAGGATATACAAGCATCAGATGTAAAATTAGAGTGTTCTAAGCCAACAACAAACAACAGGATGCTGTACAAACAAGCTGGTTCTTATATCCTTCAATGTTTGAACTGTTTTTTTCTTCACAGAAAATGCTCACATTGATTATAAAATATGCAAGTAGACACCAAGAATATGATGCTAAATATCCCAAGATATATCCCTTCCTAGCAGACGTAATGGTAGCTAACACAGAAGTCTGCAATGGCAGCTTGTTATTACGCTGTTTATATATAGGTTTGGTTTGTCATACTTTTCAGAATATGAAAACAGAGACTGAACATTTTAATGGCCAAAAGATTTCAGGAACTTCCCAAACAAGCCAATAGGATCTAGCCCATGTAGGCTTCACTTGGTTGAAACCTCTAGCACTTTACAATTAAATTGAATAAATGTGTACCTGGATAACTTAAAATAGAGATGGATCTTTTTTTGCAACATTTGCAACTAATCTCATAATCGATAAAAGGTAAGGATACTTAACATCTGAAAAGCATAGGCGCATTTCACTCTCCATAAATTCTACAAATGCACATATATCATTCCAAATGTATCTACTGGATCAAATTTCCCTGTCTAGAGCAGAGCCTTGAATCACACCAGCTCATAAAAGAAGAAAACTACTTACTATGACGATGCCTTGCATCACGAGCTTTCAAGTACTTTTGTTCAGCGGTAACAGACTCTAGTGCTTCTCTAAGCTCAGCAATTTTTACATTAATTGGGTCCAAATGCTCTGCAAGCCATCAAAAAAATGGAGCTCGATAACCAACAGATAGAACAAAAAAAAGGAACACTTGGACCATTATTCATAAACATCAAGAAGTACCTCATGTATATAGTACAGATTAAAACCTGTATGCTCAACACCTAAACTTATAAATGATGTAGTAGGATAGTAGAATCAACTAAGAAAACCATCTTACACACAGAACGTACCATCTTTAGCAAGGTCATGCTCAGAGGGAATATGGCCAATATGGATGTAGAAAGAGACAGTCTCAGGTGTTGAGTATGGGTTATGGAAACAAAATTTATACATTCCATGTGTTGGGGCTTTAAAACTAAACTTGTCACCAGAGGTTCCCTTGATATTATGGACAGTATTCCCTCCGGGAGATGTCACCTGCAGATCACTACAAAATTAGGATATCTCGAAAGCTAAAGTTACAAAACAATTTACAATTTTTGGACAGTTGACAGTTTATTACTGCTAAGCCACAGCTAAATCACACAATCATCAACAAAAGATGGCTCCCAATGTTCTTCACATTAGCACAGAGAGTTTTTACGCAAAACTGCCCCATCATGCAGAGATTACAAACTAGAGTCTTTCACAACTTATAACGAAGTAGTCAAACATCAAAAGGCCTCAAGGTCCCAAACTCCACTGTAAATAAAAAGTGTAATAAGTAGGTTTAAATCTAATTATGTGCAAAAAACAAAGGTAATGCCTTCCCCGAGTCACCATCTTTTGCAACCTGATTTCGCCACAAGTACTTCTAAAAGAGAATAGAGAGTGATTTCCAGGTTCCAAATTAGGGTCTGTTTGTTTTAAAGTTCTGCGAAATTAATTTTGATAGTGTCTTAATAAATATCAGTCATACACTTATAGTGAAGTGAAATAAATTATTTATATCGTAAAAAAATGTGAAAATTGATTTTATGAAGCATAAACAAAAACGAACTTATAACTCGTGTAAAATTTTGATACAATTTCATGGGTGTTTTTAGTATTATTTTCTTATTAGAATTGGAGTTTCACCTCGATAATAAAGGTATACCTTAAAATTCAACATAGATTATCGTAAAACACCAATTCCGATAGGACAACAGTAGCAAAAGCAAGGGCAAAACTACCACAAAATTTTGTTCATATCTCCTGCAAACATGCTGATTTAACTAGGATTGGTAATTATGTACATACATGGATCATAACCGATCTTTATGAAAAAGATATAACAAAAATCCTCAATTAAATCAAAATGTCAACTATCACAAACCCCCAAAAACAAACCTTGAAAAAAAAAAAAAAAAGACCCCCAACAAGTTCATAATTGAAGCAATTGGCAAGAAATTAGGGCAATTAAAGCAATTGGCACTGACCGTGAAATCAATGCCGGGGTGATCGGAACTCCAGAAAATGTCATGGTCGACGACAACAAAGTTCCCCGACACAGTATCGCCCTCATAAAGCACGTATTCATAGACGCACTCCACGTCGTGCACAGTCACAGACAGCGATTCAATGCGAGCGAAGAAGCTCACAATCAAACACATAAAAACCGTCCACATCTTCGAGCTTCTCATTGAGGTTGCACCCCGGTCTTAGGGTTTTATTATTTTGAAAACAAAAAATTGAAATTAAGAGAATTTAAGGTTGTGGGAAATTAAAAAACGCTTCTAGATCTTAAAGACTGAGTGTGATACACAAAGCTTTCTTCTTTCACTCTATTTTTCTCCCACCCTTCTTCCTCGAGTGCAACGCAACAAACCGGCGCTCCCTTTCATTGATGGAGCCCTAATTTATAGAGCTGACGTGTAAAATGTAGACGTGCACCAGCCAATCAGAGAACAGAATAGGTGCAACGAAACAGACAAAAAAAAAATGTACATAATATAAAAACAAGTTCCATAATTAATATTTAATTTTAATAAAATCTTATAAATGTATTACATAATAAATTTAAATTAAAAATTAAGTAAGTACAAAATTTAAACTTATAATAAATAAAGTTAATCATAATATGTTTACCTTTCAAAGAAAAAAATCGGAATCAAATGTTTTCCGAATTGGTGTTAAAATCCATTCAAAATCAACATTTTAACTCATTCCAAAGAAATACGTTTTATAGATAATTATTGTATTATAAATTAAAATTAATTTATTATAATTAAATGAAAAAATAATGTAAAATATTATTTAATTTAAATGATATATATATATATATATATATATATATATATCATTATCTTAAAGTTACTCTAATATTCATATTTTAGTAATAAAAAAATTAATAAATATTTTGCAAAGGGGCATTTGAATCTACCTTTCCTGGTGGTAAAATAAAAATCTTTCTAATAATCAAGCATACAAAAGCTCCCCCGAGATTAATTAATAATAATATATAAATATTTCTTTATTTTTAAATACCTAAATGATATCGATAATATTTTATATATCTCTGCAGTGATATAACATTATTTATAATTTTTTTTCTTTTTACATTCATTATCAACTAATATTTGAAATGTTCATCAGTGTTTTATTAATAATTAATATATAAAAAATGATTGTTTGACAATTAGATATAAACATGTATCCAAATTTATTGATATAATAATTAGATATAATTAACCAATTTTATTAATATAATAATAATTATATATAATTAACCAATTTTGTCAATATAATAATAATAATAATAATTAGATATAATTTATCCAATTTTATTAATATAATAATAATAATTAGATATAATTTACCCAATTTTATTAATATAATAGTAATAATAATAATTAGATAAAAATGCCAATTTTATTAATATAATAATAATAGTTATTATTATATTATATTATATCATTATCTTGTCATATTAGAAATGTGAATACGATTTATAACGTATGAGCTAAGTTGACTATTAATTGAATTTTGATTAGGTTAAAAAAATTTGAAATTGAATTAAAACAAAGGTAGGTTAGATTTAGATTGATGGTAGGTTAATTTTTTTTTAATCTTTAATTTTTTTATTTTGATATATAAATACAAATATAAGAAAAAAATGTTCTAATCAATTAATTTATCTAATTAATATGTTTTTTGACTCAATTCACTTAATCCATTTATCTTAATTAATCAATCAATCAACCTATTTTAAGGATTTAAAAGTGAGTTAACCCGCATAACTCGCGCTTGACGCGCCAGACTCACCTTCACACCCATGCTCTTACTCATGTATTATACTTCTTTAGTGCGGTTGTTAAAAAGAGGTTGCGATGCGGACAGAGTGGAACACTTTACCAACTAATGCGAAATTTTGGACATTATGATATTATATTTCTTATTTTTGAGCACTATTCTGTTTCAAAGTCTTTAACTTTGCATCTAAAGGGTTGAAAAATGGAGAAGGCACAAATGCAGGTCCCAAGAGTTAAACTGGGCAGCCAAGGCTTAGAGGTAACCTTGCTACTTTACAATCAAACCAACTCATTTCCTGCACTATTATTATGAACTGTTATGTTCATCCAAAGTAGTTGCTTACAATGAATTGATTAAGAGGAACAATACATTCTACCTTGTTTTTTCTCAATCTCTGCGGAACCATATCTGTTTCATGATTTGATCATCAACTCAAGGACTATTTTGAAAAAGAAAAAAAATGACAGCAAATGAATTATCAAATCTCTGCTGCTGCTGCTGCATATCTATACTAATGTCATGAATCGATCTGCTGTTACTCACCTGTTGCATCATACTTTTAACTTCTGTTGGGAGTTCATTTATCTGACAGACTCCTCCAGTTTTGGCATTTATGGTAACTTTTCCTGCTTCTTCAAAGAAATGCAGTTGATTGGGTGTCTGTCAAAAAAGGTTTTTAATTGCTGTCACTGTTGCAGTTGTGTTACAATCCTTCACATTGATAAATTACAGATAAATGGGGTTCATGAGACAGTAACTACGGTTTCAATTCTATTGAAGAGTCCAAAAACCTTGATGTTGGAACCGAAATCTTAGTCACATACTGTTTTTAGAAACTTTGCCCCTTGGTATAGATTATCTTCCAGAGTAGAGTCTTGACAGTGTTTCATCAGAAGCTTGTGAATAAAGAACCCTTCAGATATACTTTCATCATTCATAAATCGTAATAGTGGTAATGCTGATTGACATGACCGATTTGAATTATTTTAGATTAAGAGATTAGAGGAGTAGTACAATGTTAGTTGTAGAATATGTGAAAAGAACAGAACCTGCTGTATACATTCTTGGTGGAATGCAGGTTTCTAGGTTGGGCTTTGGATGTGGAGGATTATCTGGAATTTATAATGCTCCCCTCTCACATGAAGAAGGATGTTCAATCATTAAAGAAATATTCAATAAGGGTGTCACCTTCTTTGATACATCGGATCTTTACGGAGATAATCATGATAACGAAATCATGGTTGGCAAGGTAACGCATTATCCAACTAATTAGTTTATTTTATTTTAATTCTTAGTGATAAAAGCACATACTCATTTGTATGAGCTTCCAATTGTAATTAACTTTATTACCCCGCAGCTTCACAAATAAATCACTCTATATGAGGCAAATGGCCTGTTTGCTCAGAGAATCACCAAGTGGGGGTATAACTAATTTCTGAAAAGTTCAAGTCCATTTTTATATCAGTGGGACCTAATAAGAGTAAACTGAACTTACATAAAAGCAAAAAAAGGAGAGGACGATATTTAAAACCACTGTAGTTACTTCAACTCACTTCATACTATCCTCAATACAGTAATTTAGTTGGCCATTTTATAAGCAAATTTCATATATTATAATATCATAAACATGCTAACCGGTGCATCTAAGTGGATGGAGCATTCGAATTTAGTGGAAATTGATTATAGTATAATTAAAAATATCTTTTATACTGTAATCAGGCTTTAAAACAACTTCCCCGAGAAGAAGTCCAGTTGGCTACAAAATTTGGTATTACTGTATCTGAAGGGTTGGTTTTCGGGGTAAAGGGTACCCCTGAATATGTGCGACAGTGCTGTGAAGCTAGTCTTAAGCGGCTTGATGTGGACTATATTGATTTATTCTATCAACACCGAGTTGATACTTCAGTGCCAATTGAAGACACTGTAAGCTTTGAATGCTGTTCCTCTCTTGTTAGTTATGCATACCGTTCCAAATTTCAACACTTTTAAACTGTAGATGATTGAGTCTTTTAATATTGAACACTGCATGAAAGATGGGAGAGCTCAAACAGCTGGTAGATGAGGGAAAGATAAAATATATTGGGTTATCCGAGGCTAATGCTGACACTATAAGGAGAGCTCATGCTGTTCATCCTATTACTGCGTTGCAAATGGAGTATTCCTTGTGGACCCGTGACATTGAAGAAGAAATAATTCCACTCTGCCGGTATTTAAATAGGAAGATTTACTTTTCTAACAACAAATTATTCATTTTAACTTGGAGTTTTAATATGATATATTTTCTATCTAACTCTTTTCAGTACAAAAACATCTGAGTTTTTTTTTTGTCTAATGTCTAAAAGAAAGCATTTTGTTCTTGCAGAGAACTTGGGATTGGAATAGTGGCATACAGCCCTCTCGGTCGTGGCTTTTTTGCAGGAAAGGCTGTGGTAGAAACTTTGCCTAGTCAGAGCCTGCTGGTATGCAGCTAATGACTAAGTAGTACAGTTTTCATGTTTTGCATGAATTGTAGCTTTTCCTGTTGTGATGGCTAAGAAAATAACACCAACAAGGAAAGTTTAAACTACTTGTTGGATGACATATATGCTGAGGGAAAATGAGATACATATGACATTGAGTTAGTTCTATTCCAGCAGTGACTGTATATTGAAATTTGCTATTGTTTTTGTAACAGACAATGCATCCCAGGTTCACTGGAGAAAATTTGGAGAAGAACAAGCTTTTCTATACACGACTTGTGGACTTGGCTTCCAAGCATGCTTGCACTCCTTCACAATTAGCCTTGGCGTGGCTTCTCCATCAGGGAAATGACATAATCCCTATACCTGGTAGTGTCCTTATTGCACTTGGGAAGACTTTCATTTCCACATGTTTGATGAGTTCCTTACTATCTACTTTTTCTGACTTTTCTTTGTCATACGTGCTCAACAAATTATGCCAATTTATTTCTCTGAAAAACTTACCGCTCATGAAGAAGGAAAACGTGACATGATATCTAGATCTTGTTCATGACATATTTTACCATTGTAAGCATGAGAATTTGTAAACTGATTCCAATGACAGTGCTTTTATCGTGTACTTCTTTGATGCCATTAGGGACTACTAAACTGAAGAACTTTGAAAACAACGTTGGATCTGTGACTGTGAAGCTTACAGATGAGGATTTGAGGGAAATCTCTGAAGCATTTCCTGATTATGAAGTTGCTGGTACACGAGAGTATGGTATGTTAAGCAACTACACATGGAAGTTTGCAACAACACCACCGAAGTAACTGTGTTCAGAAGAACCGTTCAAATCTGTAATGAAATAATAATGTCGTGTTTTTTGTATTCACCCGTTATGCTTATCGCGATAAAATTCTTACTGGAATATTCTCCTCAGTGTGACTTTGAAAATAAAGATTTTCTTCGTCCCCTTAAGCGTGGTGATAATTAGTGTTCGAAAGATTAGATACATTTTATTAAATTCTTCAAAAAATAAATATTATATGGCTTATATATATTTTTTATCTCCATTAGCAATATGGTAGCAGTTAGTAATTAACAACCAGAGAATTAAGAAAAAAAAAGTGATTATTAAAAAATATATTCGTATATAAGAAATAATGTCATGAATTTTTTTAAGTAATCAAAAGTATTTAATAAGTGTTTTTTTTCTCCTTTAAAAAAATAACAAGGTGTTAATAGACTTACTAGCTGATGAAAAAAAAAAAAGAGTTACTGATAAAACATTTTAAATTTGTTTTAATTACTATAAAAGGGGATATATATTACAAACAATTACCATCACTATTCTATGTTATTTTCTTTTGAAACCAAAGAATCAATATACCAAAAAAAAAATTTAAAAACATAATTTGTTTTAATAATTAATTTTTAAATATAATACTTATTTAATTATTTTGCAACCGCGTTTTTCTATTTTGGAATATTTTGCACCTCACATTTATATAATAAAAGAAATTCTCTCATAAGTTTTTACCCTTAAGACTACCTTAGTTGGTAAGAAAATAGAAAGTGAAAAATGATTATTGTAAAAAAAAAGGTATTTTTTATTTGGTATTAAGGAAAATTAAAAAAAATATCAATTTTTACTAATATACGTGTCTATTTTTTATTTATATATGAATAAAAACATACAAAATAATAAAATGTTATTTTTCAAAATTATTTTAACTTATATAAATAATTATTATTTTTATGTTTAAAATTTTAAGGTATATAAAATATTTTACATTTTTTATTATTATTTAAATAAAGTATCATAAATATAAAAATTAAATAAATAATTTAATATATATTTTATTTATTTGTAACATGATATTATTTTATTAATTTAAATTTAAATAGTTTAAAAAAAATTATAGTAAAACGTATTTTATGATTATATATTATTAAAAAATAAAATATTAATTTAAATATACTACTTAGAAATATTATTTTATTAAAAAATCAATTAATAATTATATGCATAATTTTATACTTAAATAAATATTTATTTTTATTTTAATTATTTATTTTTAAAATAAATACTTTATTTTTTTGGATATATTTTTCTTTAAAACAAATAAAAGTATATTTCATTTATTTATTATTATATTTTTCTTCACTTGCTTTCACCTTATTATTGAACTATCTCATCGTGACTAATAGAATGGAGATGGATCTGATTGTGGGGTCCATATATTTATTTTATCATTTAATTCGTCACGTGATTGAGAGGAGTTAAATACATCTAACCTTCTTGTTATATAATAATGATAATAATATATAATAAGCAAATTCATGATTAAAAATAAAAATAAATAATTGTTTATTAGTTATTTATTTAAGTGTAAATTGTCAAAATATCTTTATTCTAATCAAAATATTACCGTCTAATCAACTTAGTATATCCAAATCTAATTATAAATAAAATTACTATATTTAAATGTTAAGTTGTTAATTTAATGTTAATTCAATATTTTGTTATTATATTATTAAATTTATATTATTCAATTTGATTACTTTTTATTATCTAAATTATATTAATATTTTACTAAATAGAAAATGTTTTATTTTCAGTTTAGTTTTTTTTATAAGACATTTATTTTACATTTTGAAAAAATGTTTTTAGGTCCAATTAGAATTAAATCCTACAAACTAATGTAACACTCCATCCACAATTTGAAGTCTTTGGTCGACTCATATTCTTAGAAGGCATGTCATGTTAATTGCATGAAGCTTTCAATGCATTACGCTTACGTTCCTCCCTAATCACGGTTGGTTTTTGTATAAAATCATTGCTTAATCGCACATCTTATTATTTTATTATATCATTTTATAAAATTACTATTTGTTTTTTTATATATTTTATTATTATATTTTCTACATTTTACAATTCTATTATATATATATATATTTTTTTTTTTATTTTTTTTTAATTCATTCAGTAAAAACTCTTACCCCACCGTCTGCAACCGAAAAGAAAAATACCGTAAGAAGAAATTTAGTAATTGATTTATCTTATTTGGAGATGAAGTTTGGTTAATTAATGTGTAAATTATGTAGATATGTGTAGAATGTTCTAGTAATAGTTTGGAAACGGCAAAACCTGATATTGATCAAGTGTTTCCTTGTGGTTCTCATGAGAGCCACGTCTCTTACTTTTACCATGTGTGGACAAGTGAACCCACGTGAACCAATGACCTTTAAGGCCTACATACACATTACGTGGAACCTAAATATCCACCACAATACTTGCCCTCTAATTTTATTTAAACAACCTTCTTCACCACTTCATCCACCACACCTAGTGTTGCTAGAGCAGTGAACTCTTCATTTAGTTATCGTCACAAATTCTCAGTTGTAAGGTGGCAAGAGAAGCATCTTTATAAATAATCCTCGGGTCTAGCATTCGTCACATTGCTACATTGTGTGAATTGTTGAACTTTGCAATTATTCCTATTCATCTATGGCTGCCTCATCGTACGCTATGCAATCAATCCTGGCTAACCCTATGATCAGCATATCCAGCGGGTCGAGGGTGAACCACTTTGGTATTCCTGCTATGTACAGGAGAAGGAATGTTAGCCTGAGAGTTAGGTCCATGGCTGAGGTAGTGGATCACATCAATTTCAGATATCATAGTATATACAATGTTTCTCCGTTATTCTGATGTCGTTTGGTCTATTTCCTAACATTTAGGACAATCATATGCTTTATTAACCATTATTTTTTTTTTGGGTTATATATGCAGGATGACCAACAGAGTGAGCCAGCAACCCCAGTTACACCACCATCAGTAGAACCCGTGCAACAACCAGCCTCTACTCGTTCACCAAAGGTGACCCTAGTGATAAATGTTTGTCAAAACTGTGTAACTTCTGTCGTTATTTCTGGTTTGAGGTTTTAACATTATATGATAATTAAGATTTTCTGGCCACTGATATGGAATGAAATTTCCCATCCTTCAAGAGTCATTCATTTTAATTTAAGAGTATAACATATTTTAAGTCTCTCCTCCGATCTTTTTGGTTCAGTTTAGTCACAAGCTTAAACTAGTACCACTTTGGTGACTTTGGTTCATTAAAGGGTGAAGTCAATTGGTCGTTGCATCACTTTCTTTATTTGAAGGTGATGATTTTGGATAATAACTATCCATCGTCGTTATGTGCCAACAAATTGAACATGCTTGAGTGTCAAACTGGTGGGAGTATTTGGTCTAATGAGATGGGTTCACGGATTAAAATGAAACGTTTTGTATTCAAGAGACCATTCAGAAATCATAGTTAGGAAGATATTTGAAGTTTATTTGCCAAAAAACTTAAAGAGAGTTTGTGTGGCAATGTGAATTTTTATGATTAATATGAGAGCGCATATATTGACATGATGGTTAATGACAGGTGAGCACCAAGTTCTCAGATGTGTTGGCATTCAGTGGGCCAGCGCCTGAGAGAATCAATGGAAGGCTGGCCATGATTGGGTTTGTATCTGCAATAGCAGTGGAAGTAGCCAAAGGGCAGGGTGTCTTTGAGCAAATATCCGATGGTGGCATTCCATGGTTCTTGGGTACAAGTGTGGTTCTTACCCTTGCTTCCTTGATTCCACTCTTCCAAGGTGTCAGTGTGGAGTCTAAGTCTAAAGGGTTTATGTCCTCAGATGCAGAACTATGGAATGGGAGATTTGCTATGTTGGGTTTGATAGCCCTGGCTTTTACCGAGTATGTCAAGGGAGGTACCCTGGTGTAAACTTGAGTCACACAGAAATGGTCTCAGTAATCATTCGTGGTTAGAGAGACCAATCTATCTGTATTTATGTTCTTTTAGACTATATCATTAATCATAAGAAAATTTCATAACATTGAATTGATGTGTGCTCTGGGTAAGAACCATCGAAATATTACACTTAAAGGCCAAACCATGGTTCTTCACTAAGCAAAGTTAACTTCACAGAATAGACGCGGTTTCTTAATTTGTCATTAATCAAAATTGAATTATGTGAAGAGGCGATATATTCTTGCCCGTTATCTTTCTTGGTCGATATCGTTTGCAATGAAAATAAGAAAGTTAGGTGATGAATAAAATTTTTAAAGGATAGAAATTTATGTATACCATAATTTCATGGAAACATGTAAAACTATAAAGGCAATGTGTATTACAATTTTAGAAGGTACTACTAAGTGTTTATATACTAAGAAGTAGAATATTGTATACACTTTTAACAATTCATCCCTTATTTCAAGGATCGTATATGGCAGGAATTAGAATGAGACACGTCTCACTCGAGAGTACACCTCATATTAACAAAAGAAACATTTTTTTTTAGAATATCTCACAATTTTAAAATTTACAAATATAATTATAACAACTTCAGAATTTTATCCAGAATATTTAAGAAAGGAATTCTAAATCGTATTAGTAAAATGCATAATTGGAAAACAAATCTATCATAATTATTATGTGAATATTCCATTATTGTTCAATTAAAACAATATTGAATGTTATGTTACAGATTATTATTATTATTATGCTGACCCATAAGGTAGAGGCGCAATACAAAACGAGAAATTTCAAAATAAAAAGCAGTTAGTTATCGAAGTACTAGGAATGAGCACAGCTCCAATTTATGAATATCAGTGTCACCCTTATTAATTACACGATAACTGAACGTCATCTACGGGAATGAACCTCTACACTCAAATTTATGAACAGAAAAGAATGAGAGAACAATACACATGCCATCAGTTTTCTTCGTTTTTTCAGAAATCGTATCTATTACGTATGTACAAATATTCACCAATAGAAACTATATTGTCTTCAGCCACGTTTGTAAAACCCCCGGTTATGGATCGAGCTGATATTCAGGCTTGTCAAAATCACCATTTTGGAGTGTGCTTCCTTCCACCCCATTTTCAAGTCCCTGCAAATCATTACAACTCAATGATCACAAAAATAGAAGAAAGCAATGTCTTGTATCCAATACAAATTAAATTAAGACCATGTTAAAATAAATTGATGTTGGCCCAACGCTACACTACACAGGACACTGCCCTTTAATTACGTGTTTAATACGTCAAATATAATGGGATTATTCAATTTTGTCAAGCGGGTACGACCTTGGTTTCGTACTAAATAATGTGCATTACACAGATGGGAAGTAAGAATGATGCTGATGGTAGGGGCATCTATCCATCATTAAAAAAGTAACATAATAAACAAAAGGTGGAAAAAAGATTATCACCCGTGAAAAAAGAAAAGATGTACTGTTTGATTAGTTGTATGTACGCAAAAACAATAACAAAAAAAAGAAACAGGGAAGTTCAGATACATACTTCTGTTTGTAGATCAACTGGAAACAAATTTATGGCTCCTGTATTGAAGGAGAATCCACTGAAGAAGACACAACTTTTGCATTAGTGCATACACAATAGGTAAAAAACATGGGTAGAAAACAATTGAGAAAAGTTAAAATAAAAAATAAGATAGATAATACAATTAATTCCTGGACCTAGCGTTTCTTAAGTCTCAATGCATAATAATTATCAAGGTGTATTTAACGAGCAAGCACATGCAATTCACAAGCAGGATGAAATTAAATAAGACCAACAAAACTCAAACTGCGTAAAAAAATTATGAGTAGCCTTGAGCCAATGTGAATAAGATGCTCCAGGAATCATACCAATGGGATAACACTAGCTGCCAGACATATGGGATAAAAAATTCCTCTGGATGACTCTCTTGTTCATATGTGAAGCGCAGTTGAGTAAACATCTGCCAGAAAAAGATACAGCCTCATAGAAGTAAGACACATAATCCAACTAATGATATTCCACACTGCAAACCACAAATCAAACAAATATATTTCCATTTTACCTTCATTCCGTCGCCCCTCCAAGAACGACAATTGACAATTATGACTTGGAGCACTTCATTGACTGACCAGTCACCGTCCTCTCGTTGAGCATCCATATGACTATTGAAAAAATCTAATACCTGTAAACATTTAATGGAGACATTTTTCTTCAAACACTTGAGAAACGTTGATTTATTATACAAAGACATGCAATAATGTGACTAAAGATAGCACAAAACTTGCTCATTTAAGATTTACAAGATTTCAAAGGGTCAGCATATTTTGTAACTTCCATTTAAGTATAGCAAATAACACATACAGTATAGATGTTATCAATCAGTTCATTGAAGCGTGGATGATTCTTGAATGGCTGAAAGACTTCCTGCCTGTGCATTATTGCATATACTACCTGGCCCAGTCACATAGGAAATCAGTACGATAGAGATGCATAAGTTAACAATGTAAATTTCAATTACTGCAAACTAGATCAAAATAGACATTATATATCTTCTCAGTCAATCAAGTAAAGATCATCTACCTCAGGATTCCGAGGAAGTGCATAAGTCAGGATTGCATTTATTATTTCTAGTACAAGCCTCAAGAAGTCAGTGTAAATGTGCAATTCAGTTGACTGCACCAACAAATTATATAATTATGAGATAGGAATAATCTAAGTTAGTTATCAATAGAAACACAAAAGCACCAAGGTAGTACATACCATATCTTCTACAAGGTTGTTTCCTTCAACTGAGTTGCCTTTTGCACTATGGAGTTTATTATCTCTGCGTTCAGCTAATTTGTTATACCTATTAAGCAAATATTAGGCGAATTATAAACCAGAGATTACAATGTCCTAAAACATAGAGAATGAAAGATCATGAAGCCAAACAACAGAGTGGCATACTTGCGTGAAAGCATGTCAAAAAGGCTGACTAGTCTCTGAGATGCATATGCACTCACTCGATGAACATGAGGTGCCATGTTCGCCAAGGTTGCCAGACATGTTGTTTGGAGATAGACATCCTATCATAATACAATTAAAAAAAAAATTATCAAAGGAGATATATATATATATATATATATATATATATATATATAAATAAAACAAACAATCTTATTAGTTTTATGAACATAAACTACTTAGGTAAAACAAGTATCAGAAGCACTTCCTTCCTAGACTGAAATATGTAAACCCTACTTGTATATGCTAGCGTACATTGTATGTGTCACCAGGGCCTTCAATAGACGTAGGTAACGGATCTCAATGCTTTCAGAGTCTTAATTCCAGGCTTGTACAATTGTAAATTTAAAATACTGGTTTTATTCATGAATACTATTTTTAATACACAATATCCAAATACTGTATTTTCCCACACTAACTAAAACTAGCATCACCAATTTGTTTAACAAATGCAGTTAGAGCTCACATACTTGGGTGAAAATTAAATAACCAAGATAATCAAGTTTGAAAATTATTGAAAATGAGTCAGAAATGTTAGTAAAGGAAAATACCAATGCATGCCTTTTCAAATATACATTAGAATTCACGGGGAGTCTAATTTCATTGGGCCAGCGAATTAAATAGTAACCATGTAAGAGCATTTAATCACAAGAAACAAATCCAGTTTTGGGCATTTAGGGTGAAGAATCTACAATTCAACTATAATGGGATAAAGTATTTCATATAAAAGAAAAAAACATCAATTAATAGCATCAATCACATTACACATTCAATTAATAAAGTCATAATCCATACAAAGTCAGAACAGTGGCACATGTCTCGGTAATAACTATATTAATTGGCCAATATATTAGGTACTTTTTTCATGCAATATATGTAATGTATGAATTAAATAATCATGAGAATAAATTGACAGTCCATCTCAGTTTAAGATTTATACCCGTAATTTTGACAAATTATACTGTACAGTTCTGATAAGAATTATGACCATGAGGGAACCAAGAGATGTCTGATGGAGAAGGCGTTCTTTGTACCATGGGACAGCAGTCAATATCTGTCCACTCATGCACCATATTAGCAGTTAGTGCAATCCACACATTTTTAGGACAAAATCTAATGCCAAATGGTAACTCTTACCAGCTTATGAATGCTTGCATTAAAAGAAGAATCTTGACTGAGTATGAGAAGAATAATTAGCAACATGTAAATTTGATTAGCCGTCCTTGTTGAAGCATTGTATAGAGCTTCCAGAATTGGCATTAACTGTTAATTTCATAAGATAAACAGGTATCAGAATAAGGCTTAATCTTCAGTCATTCTACATGTATCACATATCACATGATAATCAAGTAAATACATGTTTTACAAAGCAATAATCCTCAACATAGCTTAATCAGAAATTCTTCTTGACTTTTACATACATAAATAATAATTTTTTTCCATTTTCTTAGGAAACTTAAGTTTTCTGCTTCATACCAATGTATCCAGATCTGTCCGCACCAATACATACTCCAGAAAGGCAGAATTCCCTTGCAACAATGAGTAAAGCAGTAGGACAGCTGCCTCATCAGCTAAGCATCTTCAGAGCAATAAGAATGAAAATTTTTAAAACTAACAAATGTGTAATATCCAAAAAAATAATGAATTGCAACTACTATGAATGTATGGCACTATAAATGTAAAACTTGTAGATTTAATAAAAGGTCCAATATGACAAGTCCGAGAAATCTTGCAATATCTAGAAGCAGGGAGTGTAAACGACAGTCATTAAAAAAACTGAAAATCATGAACCAAAACAAAAGGCACAAGAGCCTCAAACAATGAATTATAGTGATTGGGACACAAAGTAGCAAGTAGCAATTATATGCCTGAAACATGTAAGACAAAGAAATCTGTAACTAACTGAAGATCATATATGATGGCAGGTGGAGGGAACAAGGAGTAAATTTTTATTTCTAATTTGTTTTACTTGTTCCCTCCCTTCTTTTGATGTAAGAACTAATTGGTGAACATAAACAGTTTTCTAAATGTCATAATAAGACTGATGACATGAACAACTAGGTACATACTCTGATTATGTAATGTTTGAGAAACGGATCATTGGACATATCATGATAACAAACAGCTTACAAACATGCAAATTTTACTGCCATACTCTGCAGAGATGGACTCAATTAAAACCATAGCTAAGCATGAAATGGATGTAGCATGTTAACTGTCAAAATCTATAGGAGCCAGAAACTCACATCCCAAGTGTATCAAACAACGAAGCAAATGGAAGCTTTATGTGTCGAGCACTATGCGCATTGCCCTCAATATCTACACGATCTACTGCATTTAAAGGTCTGATAAAAAATTGCTAGCGTTCTTAATCAATTAAAATAGCATGCATAGATATGAAAAATACATTACATTCACAATCAATTGCATGTTCCAATGCCTTGCAGTAAGGATTGTCAGAAAATTGGGAATTTTCTTTGAGTAAAGAATCTGATGTGGAAGATTTGTTGTTCGCGTGGTCCTCACTCACGACACATTTATGATAATGAACGAGAACAAGCAGCACATGAATACTAATATCTGAAATAGGACTTTTTGATCCTTCAACACTCGAACTGACCAGATAACTAAATGGAAATAAAACAATATTTGCTGCAAGGTAAAAATAAAAAAGCCAAAAAAAGAGCACATATTAGTATATTTCCAAATTTCACATGAGAATCTTTGAGCAATTATGATAATTACATCCAAAATGCATATTTACTCCCAGATCCCTAAATACTAAAAAGAAAAGTATCTACAGTCATCATACCAGCTGCAGAACCAACTCTCTGTAGAACACTACTCTGACTTCCATCAGACAAGATGGAATAAGTTGCCCTATTAAATGGAACATTAGAACGGACCATGAAGTTTAGAAGCAATCTGTGAACAACTGAACCAACCAGAGAGCTGTCCTGCAAAAATAACAATGCACAGTTGTTTACTACCTGCTAATACACAATAACTCAACAACCTAGGTTTGATGTTAAAACTTCAAGTTTTAACCTGATCCATTGCTGCATCAAGAAAGGGGTTCACGTCATTTGGTCCAGGAGATGACCCACAGAGAAGCTGAGTTGACATTGCAATAATCATGAAATTAAGCAGCTCTAGGTGTAGGAGATATGTGTCTGGACTATAATAGTAATAATAATTGTCAGGACAAAATAGCTCACTCAATAACTCATCAAGAATTAGCACATTAAATTACTCATGAGCAATGATATACCTCACTTCAATTGATGCTATAAAGTTCAGCACATTCCGCATAACAAAATTTTCAATGGTTTGATCTGTATAAATATAAAAATTTAAAAACAATGAAGAGATTTGAATAATAATGGAAATACAGGCATAAAAAACAAAAAAGACTTGAAAGGGGAATATGACATAATTCATGTGAAACCCAATAAAAGTAAGGAAGTTCCAATTAAAACAAACGTGAAAAACCAAGTTTATGTCGCATCAAACATAAGTTGACATTGAACCCAACATTTCGCACTCAGTAGGAATAAAAAATAAGTTTAAGCTCTTACACGAATCTTAAGCTAATGCACCACCCAAAATAATATGTAAAACAAAGTTCAATATAATGTATATGTTTATACGTTAGCACAATTTAATTATATATCTGAAACAATGAGTCATACATACCTCTCAAAACATCGTTCGGTACAGTCTCGTCATCTTCAAGAGACAGGTATAATTGGATATCCCCTTGGGCACTTTCGATCAAGTACTTTAAAAATGTTGAACTGAAGTACACTGCATTAACAGCCTTTTCATAGACCAAGGGCGATACACCAGAAGAAGACACGGACTCTTGCAAGCAGCAAGCTAGATGAAACAAAATCTTAGCAAGATGTCTGGTGTGACAATTGTTTTTGGCTGCAAACAATTAGGAGAAAACCGATAACCAAAATTCAAAAAAGATGTTGTAATAATACATAATAGAAGCTATTAAAAAATAAATAATTCTGTAATTAGTTGGAAGTTAGAAGATATATAAATAGACCTATTGTACACTTTGAAAAGGGAATGAAATACAATCAGTTGAGTTTTCCACTATATTCTATATGAATTGTGAGTGAGTAAAGAGTTTAAACTTTGACAGATGTTGCCACGAGGAAAAAAATTACTCTCCTAAATAGTCAATACATCGATTAACAAATCATAAAATAAGCTAAAAATTCGAAGAGAGTCAAACTATAAATCATTCGGAATTGCTTCAATTAGAAACCAAATTTCAAGTCCTTGACATTATCATAATATTGAGACAAGAAGACCATACTCCAACATTTTAAGCCATAAACAAATTATACATGCCACGAATCGAATAATTGAAACCTCTCCTTCAAATCATTACCATTATAAGCCTAAAAAACGATTATCAAAGAAAGTAATTAGAATATGGCAAACCTAACAGCTCACAAGCTTGTTGAACACGTTGAGCGGACCATTGGACATTGAGAGGAAGCTCCAGCAATTTCTGCCAGAACTCTGACGAAACAGGAAAGGGCTGGTTGTCGACGAAAGTTTCGATCAGATACTCCGCCGTTTCCGGCGACCATGCGCCACTCTTGCGCGGCGTTGACGGCACCGACCCCATTCGAAGAAATAAGGGTTTTTCTCGCGATGTGGTCGTCGAGAGTGTGTCAAATCTCGTGGACTCTAATTTGGTCTCAGATTCAGAGCAACAGCATTGCGCGAAAACTAGCGGAGAGATCAAAATGTTTTGATCCGAAGAAGAAGACGGAGATGGGTTTTTTAAATCTCGCGAGCTCGTGAAGGGAACACAGGGAGTGTAGAAGGGTGAAGAACCGCAATAACGACAAGGAGCTTTGGAACGAAGGTTTTGCAGAGAAATTAAGGACTTGTTTGGACGTGTACGCGTTTTGCCGTTTTATTTGGCGAAATCGCGCTACTAAATTGTCAAAATCCAAACAGGATACTTTTTCGTCAACCAAAAAAAAAAGTATTTTATAAATATCGTCTTTAATAAAACAAAATAATAATAATAATAATAATAATAATAATAATAATAATAATAATAATAATAATAATAAAGTATCATAGTCGACTTTTCGTTCCCATTTTGCTGAAAAAAAAATTTAGTATGCGGATTAACATTTGATATGAAAATATTAAACACATGAAATCTCATTAAAGGTTAAACTAACTAAATCACATAGTAGATCAAATAATAAAATTTATTAATAATGGAAAATAAAACATTATGGGGGTGATTTACACTGTTACATGATGCAAATTGCATTCGGCCTAATGCTTGACTATAATCCAATGCGGTTCTGCCTGATTCTGTGCCAAACATGTGAGTGGAACATTTTTTTTAATTGTGATGTATTACGATGTGCACATATAAAAAATATTTTTAAAATGTATAAAAAAATATTATTCAGTGCATCAATATGTTTGTTTGTATTATTTTATAAATATTGATATGTCTGCATATAATTTTAGCTTCTATTTCTTATATAAAAATGTTTGAAATAAATTGAAACTTAATTCCTCAATAGTAAAGTTTTTACATTAATAAAATCATTGATATTTACGATCACATTAATTTAAAAGATGTCATGTCCATGAGTGACAAGTTACTGGGTCCATTTGCTTACTATTATAATACTATTTCACTATTCCTTAAAGTCTGTCACGCCTATGGTTATAATTATTATTATTATGATTATTATTATTATTATTATTATTATTATTATTATTATTATTATTATTATTATTATCCTTAAAATGAGCGCAGGACCATTCACATTTATTAGTTTAAAATTAGTTTTATCCGGATTTAAATAAACTAATGTGAAGTCATGTACTTCTTAAATTTTAAATTGATAAAACAGTAAGAATGCTAATTATTTATTGTTAGATATAAGTCAAATCAATTATTAAATTTATTGGTAATTCTAGTCTAATCAAATTTAATATGAATAAAAACTAATCAAATTAAATGATAATTAGTTTTAGAATCAAATTTACTATTTACATACTCAATTTGTGTGTTCTTTAGGTATTTCAATAAATGGATATGTGACATTATTTATAAGTCTAACATAGAGAAGCTTTATATAAGACAATCCAACCCTTGGTTTTTAATCAATGACTTTCTTGTGGATAGTTTCACACCATAAATAGATGCATTCAATTTGTTTTATCCGTCTGGCATGATTTATTTGGTCATAAATTATCATTTAATAGTTACGTTTTTATTTTTAAGATTCATTCTTTAGAAAGAAAGTATAAAATGAATATGTAAAAAAAAATAAAAATTTCTTATTTGTTAATAAAGAAATATAAAAATTTTCACTTTTTACTATGTTTCATATATTTGTTTTCACTTATTCATAAATTATACTTTTCAAAATCACTCATTTCTTCAAAATAAATTTTTTTCTTATTTGTTTTGCTTTCTAATAGAATATAGGGTTATTGATGAGATGTCACAGTGCATCTCTACGCCCTAGTAGATACAATTTAGGTGGGCGATACATTCTAACATTTTCATCTAATTTATTTGATGTATTAAAAACTATTATTTGACAAATAAAATCATTAATTAATATAATTGAAAAGCTTTCGAAATAACCTTAAAAAAAAACAAATATTAATAACTTCAAGTTAACCCATGGTATTATCTCTTCTATTAATCCTCTCAAAATATTTAAAATAATATCAAAATCAATAATTTATGATAGTTTAAGAATAATCTCTGTATTGAAAATATTCCTAATTAAAATGATGAAGAAATATAAATTATATCAACAACACATAAAAATAGAAAATATATTTTTTAAAAGAAATAAATAAATTTCAATTCCGTGTACTGAACTTTCATCGAGTTCTTTTCAATTTTATTAGTCCAGTTCTTGCTATAATTATTAGCCAAAACCCCTTAATTAAAAGATAACGAGAGAATATAGAAAATTTTAAGATTAGCCATAGGAATTTCCAAGATTATGAAGGTACACGTGTCCTGACAGCTACACTGCTCATGCATGTCATGTGCAACCTTATCACCAAGACAGAAAATTGAAGAAAGCAACCTATGATCCAATCCAATTCTATTCAACATCATCATCAAAATTTCCGCAACTCAATGGAGCTATTATTTTAGTCTTTTTAATTTGGTTTTTCCATTAAAGGAAATAACTTAGCACTCATCTATTCTCAAAGAATTTCACTTGCATGTATTGCTATATGCTCCATGTTTACGCATATGACTGACACGTGATAATCATTACTTCCACTTCTTACTTTAGCTGCAATATTTATATATGCTATCTAATTTTTTCAGCTGAGTTTTGACTGTTGATAAATGCTTCTGTGGTAGCATAAATAATTCGACTATTGCACTTGAGATTGAAGTTGATGCTAGGAGAAAAACTAACAAATGCACTTGTGCATCACTATCTTAAAAAATTATTAAAAGCCAGATCAAGAACATAAAACTCGCACCAAAATTACAATTAAGGTTCAGGCATATATATACGTAACAAGGATACTTGAACTCTAATTAATGATTAGTGAAGACAGAAATATAAATATCATAAGGGAACAACCACCGTTTTGCATTGTCGTTTGTTGATAATCACGTGCTTTAAAATGGGGACCGAGAAAAATATCACAAGAAAGGGAGTTTAGAATCATGAATACAACACAAAAACTGGTCAGAAAAGTGTATGTGTCTAAAAGGAATTAAGGAGATACTGCCACTAAACTAGTTCATTGAATCAATGGAAATGCAGCTAGCCTTAGCAATCTCCTATTTAGGACTAGAGGCCAGATAACCAAGTTGCTCAGCCAATACGTCTACACCTAGTACACCTTGATCTTCAATACCTTCATTGAGCAAATCTTGCCAAAATAATTCATCGATATCTTTATCTATACTTTCAAGTTGAATATAATCTCCCTCCATTCTCTTTTGGCTTCCACTTTGCTCCTCCAGATTCACAGCAAGGTCTAGATCAGGTACCTCAAACTCTAATGCCTTGTCAGTGTATACTTGTGGTTCAAGTTGAAAGAAACCTGAGTACTCTTCAGCACAACCTAACTCTCCTACTTCAACAACATTACTAGGCCCTTGATCAAGAGGCCTCCTCCTCTTGTTGGAAAAAGCTTCTTCAAGCTCCTTTCTCCACTCCTTTTGCTGAACTAATTGTTGCATGAAGTTGGGATTCTGCATAGCCCTGGCCAAGAAATTCATCATTTGTTGCTGTTTCTGTTCAGTCCTTTTAACCCTTCCTTCCATTGCTTGGATGTGAACTCTTGTATTCTGTTGCTGTTGTCTGAGTTTCACCAACTCCACCATAAGAACTTGCCTGTCGCGCCTCAACCGATCAACTTCCCAATCTAATCCAAACTGCCCCACCTCAACACAAGGATCCACACCTTGCTGCATCGCTTGAGATTGATGATTTGTTTTCCTCCTTCTGATTTTCTTCAAAAGAATCCTTTGCCCTCTAAGAAACATCTCATTAGCAAATTCCCACTTATCTGGATCCACCTTTTTAAACCCCTACAGTCATGCCAAATTCCTTCTACCTCATTTTCAAATTTATAAAATATCACTCTCGTATAATGGTTTGACAAATGCACATGATAAAACTCTTACCTAAAGCACCGAGCTAGGAGTGACAAGTTTATCAAACCTTAAATATATTAAGATATAACAACATCACTGCAGATTAAAGGTGAAAATCAATGCTGTCTTGTATCGTTTTATGTTTCAACTTTTCTACTTTTTCCTTGTCAATAATCAAAATGGGGAAGTGGGGGAAGCCTAATAAACGAATAAAAATGGGGTCCAACCAAACCTACCAGTGCCAAATATGATAACTGAAGATAGAAGAATTAATACTAGCACATCAATTCATGACAAGAAGATAATTAAGGTTATATATCGTTGAATCTAATTGCAATCCATAATGAAAACAATATTTCATCTCATAAAAGTAAGAAAAACTAGCTAGGAGAAGAATAAAATATACATCATATTGGACGATTGGGGAGTAGAAAGAGATGTTACTGACATAGGTGTTGAGTTGTCTGACAAAACTGGAGAAATTGTTGTGCTTGAAGAATCTGGACAGAAGGGTTATGGAAAAGGCCTGTGGATCCCACACGATGAAGCTGTTGTTCCCCGTGCTCCAGGAAATTATATGGTTAGTGGAAGGGTCATCAACGATGTCGTATGTTTTTGTGAGGAATGGTGGAGGACCAGTTTCATGAAGCCCCTCAATTGGTTGAGGAACAATCATTATTGGCTGTGGATCATAGCCACCGCAAAAGGAAGAACTTTCTCCAAGAAACTCTTCCTTCACTCGACCTTGAGGATTCATGTTGGAATGTGTGAGGAGCTTTGATCTATAGGTACCCTAAGATGGGTTTGCCTTTGACCTTGTTACGAGGATCTCTCTTAAGAGCTAGCTATGGAAGGAGCAACCTACGCGGAATAGACCAAGAAGAAGAAACTAGTTCTCCACCTCGTGACTAACCATGTTTCAAATTCTATTGAGAGATACATATCTACTACATTCAATGCCGTATTTTGACTCTTGACTCGAATTCTTGTTCTTGACAAAAGATAGTTAGCAAAAAGAAGTATGGAAGCAGCTAGTCAAAGCAGTGTAGTTAAACTATTGATAAAGGAATTTGGCTGATGAGTTTTGAATAAAGGGAAGAACATGTGTACTGTTATAGAATTAGGTATAGCTCATGGAACAAAAACATGGAGAAGAGAGAGAGGGTTGGAGCAGTGAATGTAGACTTGTATGATGTTATGGTGTGACGATGGGAAGGAACTTTTGGATTAGAGCGACGTGGAGGGAGGAGAAGCAGGTACAGTATGATAGTTTTTGTTGATTTTATAATTTATAAATGGATGTTGTTGATGCCTACGTTGTTCTTTTCCCTTTTTGCTTTTTCTTTTTGGGCTGATATATTATTGAGTCATATGCCTAACGGAGAAGGTAAAGTAGATCGCAAGAGAAATCTACCAGAGAGATATTTTTCTTCTCCATTTCATCGTGCGTCTTTTTTCCTCCTTTGGGAAACCGCTTCTGGTCACACAAACAAGATATTTGCATGTTCAAACTTTCTCTGCTTTTTTGTCAACGGCTAGGGTAATTAAAGCCAAGAAGTTACCAGACCCATTTACTTTTTATATTTTATAATTTTGATTTGTTTTATTCTCTCCCTTTTTCTCAATTTTGTTTGAGTTCCTCCTCTGGGTGCTTTGTCAGGTGTAGCTTTCCCATTGGAGCAAATATTCGTAGATACTCAAAATCTTAAATAACAACTTATACAAATACAGAAAAAGTTAAATGATATAATATGATCGGAAAAAATGGAGAAGAATGATAGATATTAAATGGAGTAAACAAAAGTAAGAAACCGTTTTCATAAATTTCCTAATCAAAAACCTTTTTATAATAAAAAAAAAAAGTAAACAAACACAAACACGTGTCAGATGATGATCAACAAAGACATTTTCACTCAAAAAAATTAAAATATAGGTGGTGATATTTTGACACCAAAACTATACAATCCTATATAATAATTTATTAAATAATTTAATAAAAATAAATTAAAATTATTATTATATATAAAAAAAGAATTGTTTATAAGAATTATATGAATTTAGGTTATGAAAGTTTTTTTGGATATACACGTGTACATTGCATTTTATTTGCCTGCCTATACACAATTTATAAATACATTTCATTTTACTGTATCAGATCTTTCGATTAAAATAATTTATAATTAACTAATAATATAAATTTTTATACAAAAAAAACTAGTTTATAATAATTATAAATTTTTTTTACCTGAAGTCAAATATTAATTTTTAAATAATTATTCTGACTTTTACTAATATTTTTTTCATATACACAAGTCCTCTCTAACTCTATAACGAGAGGAATCAATTTTAATAAATAATTCACGTGATTGTTAGATCTTAAAAATATATGATGAAGAGTTTAAATTATTAACATTGATTTAATTACGTTTTTGTCATTAGAATTTTGGTTCTGAAATTAAAATCGATGATATAAAAAAAATGGATTGGTCAGAGTCACGGAGATTTGGAGACGTGTCGTTGGTAGGTAGAAGATCAGGAACTCGAGATTGGCAAAATAAATATCTAGCCGCACCAAGATTATTTTATTTCATAATAAATTCATCAAAACACTTTTACATTATTAATATTATTATTTATTATTTATTATTTATTGTTTACTCGACTATCATGCCACATTCACGGGTTGCTCGGCCTCTACAATTTCTCTTAAAAAATAGTTAATTTAATTTTAATCAAATATAAATATTTTTTTTTCTAATTTCTAGTTTAATTAAAAATTATTTAGGTAAATATATTTTTATCTTGTAAAATATTTCTGAAAATTTTATTAAAAACTCTAAATGTGGTTTTTTATTTAATTTTTTTAACTCGGTTAAGGTAAAAGAAAGTGGAATTTTTTATTTAATTGATTGGTTAGACTAGACATGATCTCAAAGGCCGTTCATCAGATTGCTCGAGATTACCCGAACCAATTATATATATATATATATATATATATATATATATATATATATATATATATATATATATATATATATATATAATTGTTATTTTTTAAATTAATAAATATTATTTTTTAAATATAAATAAAATTTATTGTTTTTCTTTATCACTTTTTTATATTCTTAATTTTAGTAATTAAAAGAAAATATTCAAATGATAGTAAGACTGTGTATGTAATTAGTGGCTACTAACTTTGAGCAATTTTTTCTGTCTTAGGAGCAAACTCTGCAACATTAACCACGGATCTAATTAGAAATTGAGTGAGAGTTATGGAATTATAATTCCTAAAAATTTGTAATTTTTGTATAAATTATAACTTTTAATTTTAATTATCATTTAATATATTTATTTATATATTAATATTTTTTACTTTTTTATTTTTAATAATATATTTTATTTATTTTATTTTATTAATATTTATTTTATACCGTTCTTGATTCTATTTACTTGCATTTTTATCAGTTGTTTTTGGTATCTTATCTCCACGCAAATAGGAAAATATCATTTTATTTTAAAATAATGTTATTTTTTAAATCAATCTAATTAAATAAATAAATTATAGAATATTTTTTTAAATTATATTATTTATAAGATTAATTAAATATATATATATTATTTAATATTTTATTCTTATTTTAAAAAATAATAAAAATATTTTAATAATTAATTTAAATATAAGATAATAAAATAATATTTTAACAAATACAAATATATTAATATCATAAACATAAATTTAGTTGTTAGTTTTCAAAACTTAATATAACTTAGTAATTTTTTTATCATTTATTTATTTTATCTCATTTATTTTATATGATGATAACCTATCAATCAGATTTAATAGTTATTTAAAATACAATAATATAACTATTTTATAGGGAGTATTTTTTATTTTTAAAATAATAAAATAATATTATTAAAAAAAATCAAATCATCTTACTTTTTTGAATGATTTTTCTGTTTATTATATTGAAAATAATCACGGTATATCTTTTTTACTTTTAATGATTTTTCTATGAATAAAATTGAAAATAACCACCGAGTATTTTTTTTTAAAATATAGAAAATCGATAAATTAAGTAAACGAATATAAACTTCAAATTTTGAAAAATAACACTATTTAAAACAAAAAAAATAGTATCTTAACAAAAAAATGATTAAAATAATATGCATTTTAGTGTCTAAGAATATAATATAAACATTATTAACAAATATATTTAATAATTAAATAAAATTTAATGATTTATAAAATCAAAATACTCATGATATATAATTATCAATAATCATAAATTTTTCTACATAAAGTAGTTTTTCACGTGTTAAAATTATGAAAACAAACAAGGGCCAAAAATAAATTCTTGACATTGTGTTTGGTATATAATGATACTGAATGTTTGAATTTAAATACAATTATTAAAATGGTTGCATGACTAACCTACAACTTAGTTACACATATCTAACCAGTTCACTCCATTACTTCAATTCAGTTCATTTGCTATTTTATTAATTCAATAATAAGATACAGTTTAATATATATATATATATATATATATATATATATATATATATATATATATATATATATATATAAACTAAGAGAAAAAAAAACTAAGTTGATGAATCTAAATAAGAAGATTTCTTGATATATTTACAAAAGTTAAGAATAAATTATTTTTAATTAATTATTAACTAATTATTAAATTATTGTAATTTATATAAACAGCCATGGTATAAATTATTATTATTAATAAATTTATTATATATTTATTACAAAAATATTATTTCATTAAATTTATTTTTATCCCATTAAATCATAAAACTCTAAACCCAATTTTTAATGGTTCAAGTTCAATTTTAAAAATATTGATAAGAAATTATTTTTTTTATAATTTACTCATTGATCTAATTGAGTTCACTTCATAACTACAGTTCACTTCATTTACTCTTTTATTATACAGTTTGATTTATTTAAATAATTAAGAAGATTTCTCAGTCTATTTAAACACAAAATAAGAAGAAATTATTTTTACAAATTATTATTAAATATTTATAAAGTTTCCTTCAATTAAACATTTATTAATAAACTTATTATATATTTATCATATAATAAAAATATTATTTTATAAATTTTAATTAAATGGTTAAACTCTGAATTCGTATTTTAGTGACTAATCTAATTTTAATATTAATAAAAAACATTTTTTATAATAGTTTTCACGAGTTGATTTTATAATCAATATTTAAATAAAAAATTAAGATTTTTTTTATTAATTATCATTATAATATTATAAAATTAATTTTAATTAAATTTTTGTCTATAGTGTCTTAATTTTATTTCCAAAATCAATTTTTATATTTAAATATTATTTGTTTCAGAGTTTTAATCTATTTTATTTTATTTTTAAATGTGAAAAATATACATAAATTATACAAATAATAAAATAATTATTAAAATCACAAAATTAATTTAAGAATATTTTAAAAATTAATTGAGTTGAAGCTTTATTTTACAATACATTTTTTTTAAGTAGGTTCAATTATAATTTAAACAAATTTGAGAAGAAGAAAAATAACATGTGAACTGCAACTTTACAAACAATGGTTTGGTAATAAAAAAATAATAATAATTGAAATAGGTAAAAAATGTTAATAAAGAAGTGCATGGGACACGTGGCAATACTTGCTTGCATTACAGATATAAAGACAGGTGTACACACTTGACTAATATTTTAGTATTATAATAATTACAATTATAAT